AGACCCCCGCCTTAAAGAGGAGCTGGACAGTCCCAAAAGTGTGCCGGTCACGGGCTGTGGCTCGTACGTTGGACTGCGTGCGGCCAGCAGAACGCCTAGTTGTGGGCCCTGACCCTCGGGGCCGGCATGGCCCGGGGGCCGCGGGGCGTGACCCCCGGAAAACCCCCAGGAGGTTGGGTTTGAGTTAGGTTTTTCAGTTAGGTTGGGAATTTTTTCCCTGATTGACTTTTCCCTTAAAGGAAGTTTTTCTGGGAAATTCTTGATCTACCTGGAATTTTGTGGGACAGCTGAAAAGAGGGGACCCGGGGTCGTGGTCAACATGATAGGACAAGGATAACAAGGAAAGAGTGAGAGATTGAGAGAGAAAAGAGAGAGGAAAGACAAAAGGGGAGAGTCAGGGTGGGGGGCGGTGCTCCCTTTGGGGGCGTCACTGGGTATCTTTTTTAGCATGACCCTTTTCTCTCTCTAGTTTTCCCCCAATACACTACTTTCCCTCTTATTCCCCCTTTTTTTCTTTGTATTGGGTTTTATTGTACAAGTAATGTGTTGTAGTTGTTATGTGTATTTTCTGTTGGTTTTTTCCTTATAGACGGGGGTATTGATTGTTTAGTATGTATTGTGTTATTTTTTCATATTGACTGTTATATTTTTTTATTGTATTGTATCATTTTTGTATTATTTTTAATTATTATTATTTTATTTTTATTATTATTATTATTTTATTTTTTTTATTATTATTTTATTATTTATTATTATTATTATTATTATTATTATTTTATTATTATGTGAGGTGTGAGGACAATGTAACCGCCTCGACCCCAGCAACCACAAACAGGCAAATACAAAACCCGCCCCCATATTGGGAACAAAAAAAAGGATATAAAAGGAAGAGAGAGAGGAAAAGAGAGAAAAGAGAGAGAGAGAGAGAGAGAGGAGAGAGAGAGGGGGAGGGGGAGAGAGAGAGAAAGAGAAAAGAAAAGAGGGTTTTTTTGAGGTTTACTGGGGGAAACCCGGGTTTCTAAACTAAAGGGGGGGGGGTTGGGGGATTTCTCTCTGCGGTGTCGGCAAGATGGTCGGCCATCATGGGCCCCTGACAAATTGGAATTTCTAGTTTTTATTTTATTCAAAAGGAACTCTTGCTCATATTTTTTCCCGGGTCAGTGTGGGGAAATTTTGTTGCCAATATTATTTTTATTATTATTATTATTTTTATTTTTATTATTATTATTAAATTTTTTTTATTTTTATTATTTTTATTATTATTTTATTTAACAAGTTTGGGCCCTTCCCACCGAGGGAGGGTGACCCAAAAAAAAGAAAATCCCCAAAAAAAAAATATTTTATCTCATTCAACACTTTTCCAAATTTTACCAAATAATCACTGTTTTTTCAGAGGGGCCAAAACAAAGTTTAGAACATATACCTGGGGTTTACCTGGAGAAGCCGGGGGGTCAACCCCCCGCGGGCCCCCGGGCTGTGACCCGGCTCCTGGTGGATCAGAGCTTTATCAACCAGGCTGTTACTGCTGGCTGCACGCAAACCCCCGTACGAGCCCGCCGGTGGTCAGGAACCGACTTTAGGTGCTTTCCCGGAAGCTTGAAGACTGCCAGGGGTAAATAAGAAAAATAAATTTCGTTGGATTTTTAACCCCGAGGGTTAGCCCCCCAGGAAAACCCCAAAAAGTCGTGCGTCATCGAGGGGGCTGTCAACTTTTTTCCATTGGGGTCCTTAATCTTGTTTTCCCCCCCGGGTGCGACCCAACCAGTCGACTAAACCCAGGTACTATTTGCTGCTAGGGGAACAGGACAACAGGTGTAAGGAACGGTCGAATGTTTCCCCCCCCGCCGGGAAGCTTTAGCCCCCAGGCCCGGGCCGGCGGGTCGTTGGTAATCCCCCTTATGTATGCTGGAGGCAGTTTAAAAACCGGGCCCCTGACACTTTGTGTGATTCTTTAAAGGCTAGTGACACCCCCGCTTTTTTATTGGGGGATGTTTTCATCGTCTGCCCAAATCTTTGCTTTTGAGTGGTGATTTTTGTGGCAAGTTCGGTACTAGTCCCCCCTAGGATTTTCCAGGGGTATATAAACAGTATCTTCCCGCCCGCATTCCAGGGAATAAGTTTTGGAAACCCCAAGGCCCCCCGTAATTTAGGTGTTTTATCTCCGTTATGCCAGTGAAGGGTTTCTGTAATTTTTTTTAGGTCAGCAATTTCCTTGCCTTTTAAAAGGTGCGTTAGTGTGTAGAATTTCCAGCCCAGTAGAACAAGTGACCTGAGAGTTCATCATGGGGGTTTGGGATCCCTCCAAAATTTCTAATATTTCCCCCCCCCCCTCTTTAAAGTGCAGGCATTGTACTTTTCCCTTTCCAGGCCAAGTCTGGCTATATAAAAATAAAACCCGGGTTTCCCCCGTCCCTTCATAAATATTTTCCCTGCTCCAAAATCCAACAGTCGTCAGGCCCCAAATACCATTCATCTCCTTCACTCCTATCGAAAAACACTCATGCCGCTGCTGGAAGTCCCAAACCCCTTTGCCCACAAAACCTCCCTTACCCCCCTTCCCCCCAACCCTTTTTGAGGAAAAAAAAACCCTACCCCACCTTCCTTCCCACAGATTTTATACGCTCTCCATGTCTTTTACTTTGATCCATTCTCTCTAAATGACCAAACCACCTCAACAACCCCTCTTCAGCCCTCTGACTAATACTTTTATTACTCCACACCTCCTAATTTCCACACTCCGAATTTTCTGCATAATATTTACACTACACATTGCCCATAGACAGGACATCTCCACTGTCTCCAGCCGCCTCCTCGCTGCTGCATTATTCAATATTATTCAATAACAACACTGCGACTAACCAAGGATTCGAACCCGTGTTGTTTAAGCCCACCTCATCACATATGAGAGGCCCCTAGGAGCTAGTGACCACGTGGTTCTGCACTTTGAATACGTAGTAGAGTTACAAGTGGAGAGAGTAACAGGAGTTGAATGGGAAAAGCCAGACTATAAACGGGGGGATTACACAGGTTTGAGGAACTTCCTGCAGGAGGTTCAGTGGGACAGAGAACTGGTAGGAAAGTCGGTAAATGAAATGATGGAATATGTAACAACAAAATGCAAGGAGGCAGAGGAAAGGTTTGTTCCCAAGGGTAACAGAAATAATGGGAAGACCAGAATGAGCTCCTGGTTTTCCCGACGGTGTAATGAGGCAAAAAAAAGTGCAGAAGGCGAAGTACACCAAATGGGGAGGAGGATGAAATTAGCTCTGAAGTATCCACACCATCGTATGTTCTCGGTTCACGGTACAACACCTAGCTCTGCTGGGTGTGTGATTCTTGTAGGATTGTATGGACCCGTGAGTTAAAGCATCATGAATTTTCGTTCACCATGAAGCAGGCTAAAACAACATGGGTTCGAATCCTCGGCTAGTCGCAGTGTTGTTATTGATTAATGTGAAAATTTGTCTGGACTGTCTCCAAGTGAGTCGCCTACCCTGGTAAGCTCTGTTGACACCGAGCTCTGAGGTCGGTACCTCAGCCTCACCAGTGGCTTATAGGACAGATTTTCATAAATGACTGATGTTGCAAGAAATCTCACCTGCATGCATGTTTAAAGGACTAACTTACTTGGTGATGTAGGATATATTCTGGTCTTCAACCTCCTTAAGCTTTAGTCCCTCTGGACTTGCCCTCAGAACCACGTGCAACCGGGAGCCTTAATTCCTGCAATATTCAATCATTATTAGTGACCTGCCTGCACCTCAGAAATTCTTATTTCCAAGGGGGATGAATCCCCTAGAATACTATGCAGAAAGTGACACTAGCTTCTAGGTTGACAAGAGACGCTGGTACGTACTGGCCATGAACTGCCAGCTGCACAAAGGCCACAGCTCAACTCACTCGCAACTTTCCCCAGACACTGGCCAGGTTCCTAAGAAAAAGTGGAGGTCTTGTCTTACTGTATGGGAGTGATGGAGAAGGACATCTACGGTACATCGACGTGCCTCCACAAGATTTCCCCAGGTCTAGTATGTGAAGACACATAGGGGCGCCGCCTGCTGGTCATGGCACTTGTTGCTACGATGATGTCTAGTCTTAGAAGGAAGCTCTGGCGTCTTCGAGACCCGCGCCTCGTCGTTCAAACTTGGGCTGCCAGTTCTCCCTACCTAACATAAACTAGTGTTTGCCTACATTCGGCCTATTACTACCTATGTTAAGGTCTTAGGTCTACATTATTATTATCTACAGTTGCCTCAATAATCCTAATATTAGTGTACTAACAGTATAAACTACCTACTTCTTCCCTGAAGGGTAAATCTATCAATTAAGAAGTACCTTCCAACCACCTTCACCAACCTGGGTGTGTGTGTGTGTGTGTGTGTGTGTGTGTGTGTTTTGGTTGGGTGTAAGGGCCACCCAACTCAGCCGTTCCATAACGGTCATGCTGGGACCTTTGTACGCCGTATCTGTCCTGTGGAACTTTAGGGACCAAATAAATTTCCACAATTAAATACTACTTGTTCGTGGTTACAATAATATATATAATGCTCGTGGAGGCTAGTACACTAAACAGGGAGGAGGATGAAATTAGCTCTGAAGCACCCACACCATCGTATGTCCTCGGATCACAGTACAACACCTAGCTCTGCTGGGTGCGTCATGAATTTGTGTTCACCATGAGGCGAGCTAAAACAACACGGGTTCGAATCCTCGGCTAGTCGCAGTATTGTTATTGATTAAATACCACTTGTTGTTGGTTACAATAATGTTGCAATAAATAAGGAAGCTGTGACACTAAGTCCCCTCAAGGAAGGTTCCTTGATTTTGGTGGGGCTCTTGATTTAGGGAATTAGATCTGTGCTCCAGTTCCCCGAATTAAGCCTGAATGCCTTCCACATCCCCCCCAGGCGCTGTATAATCCTCTGGGTTTAGCGCTTCCCCCTTGATCATAATAATAACAATGTGACAGTAAGGTGTCAGTAGCCCTTATAAACCCAACAAGAAGCAGGAGAGAGGATGGCTGGAGGTGGCGAGGCTGTGGAGAGGTCAGACGAGGGAAAAACCTCACCAGTGCCACATTTACCCGTCAACTTGCAACGTGTGGTGCCCAGGACAGTGCCAGGGCCAGTCAGTGTCCACAACAAGGCCGCTATTGACTGGTTAGTCACAGCGGGACAAAGGTCGCCATTTTTGTCTGGCTGTCCATCACGGTCATATATATACACTGATATACAGGACGACCACTGGGAGGGGGGAAGGGGAGTTGAATGATAGCTCTAGGCCCTTCATGTTACCATAAACACATCATCAAGAGCTCGCAATGCTGCAGAAATGAGCAGGAAGGCCAGGACAAGCACCTAAAGTCAGTTCCTGATCAGCCGGGCTGTGGCTCGTACGTTGGTTTGCGTGCAGCCAGCAGCAACAGCCTGGTTGATCAGGCTCTGATCCACCAGGAGGCCTGGTCACAGACCGGGCCGCGGGGGCGTTGACCCCCGGAACTCCAGGTAAACTCCAGATGTGTTTAAGATAGAGTTGTTCCCTTCAACACATCTATCTGGATTTTCCAACTTATTTCTGCAACATTGCAAGCTCCTGATGATGTGCTCATTGCAACACGAAAGGCCTAGAGCTGTCTTTCAACTCAACACCATGGTTTTGCATCTGGTATCACTTGTTCATGTTCACTGATAATGAGACATTTGGGCAGCTTTATTGTGGGAATATTTCACCAGCCAGTGTGACTTCTTCAGTCCAGTGAACAGTGGGGGAGATGTGGAGGAGTTTGAGATAATCAGTCCCTCAGTCTCCAGATTGATGGAGTGAACACCAACTCCAGGCTGAGGGACTGATTACCTCAAGCTTTCACCGTTCTTCTCTGTATTGGACTGAAGAAGCCACTGGCTGGCAAAACATTCCCACAATAAACATTCCCAAAGGTTACGTGCAGCCAGCGATAACAGCGATAACAATACCACCAGTCCGATAACATTCTTCTTTGCAAATATACAGGGTCTAAAGCCAGCAACAAACAACAAAATACCTTTCATCCGTGGACTGCTTGCAGAGGCAAAGGCAATGTTCGCGGCTTTCACTGAGACCCACATAAAGGATCACTTGGACAACGAAATATGGATCCCAGGTTACAACCTATACAGATGTGACAGAGTGAACAGGCAAAAGGGGGGGGTTGGCCTGTACATTGCAGAGTCACTTGTTTGCACAGAACTGCTTAATGCCTCAAATGATGTAGTGGAAGTTTTAGCAGTAAAGGTCGAGAACCAAAACCTAGTCATTGTGGTAGTCTACAAGCCTCCGGATGCAACATCCCGCAATTCCAGGAACAGCTGTTAAAAATTGACCACTGTCTGGAAAATCTTCCAGCTCCTGCACCAACATCTTGCTCTGGGGGACTTCAACTTAAGGCACCTAAAATGGAGGAATATAGCAAATAATATTGTTGCAGTAATACACCAGGAGGCAGCTCTGATGAAAACTCACACTCACACGAGCTTTTAAATCTCTGCACAAAATTCAATTTAAACCAGCAAATAATAGAGCCTACTAGACTGGAGAATACACTAGACCTCATCTTCACTAACAATGATGATCTGATAAGAAATGTCACCATATCAAAACAATATACTCAGATCACAACATAATTGAGGTTCAGACATGTAGCGTGGAGCCCCAGACCGACAAAATGAGACTAGTCACGAGGGAGCATTCACCAAATTCAACTTCAATAACAAAAACATTAAAGTGGGACCAAGTAAACCAAGTCCTAACCGATATAAGGCTGGAAGATACACTAAGCAACACAGACCCCCAACTTATGCCTAGAACAGATTAACTCGGTGGCACTCGATGTATGCACAAGGCTTATTCCTCTAAGAAAAAGGAGGAGTAGATGTAAAATAGAAAGAGACAGGCGCTCCCTTTACAGGCGACGGAAAAAGAATAACAGAGCGGCTAAAAGAGGTCAAATATATCATGAAATGCGTAGGGAGACACTGGTCAGAGAAATAGCAAGCATCGAACTTAAGCTAAAAGAATCCTTTAGGAGTCAGGAATCGCGGGAAAGAACTAAAAGCCATAAATGAAATCGAAAGAAACCCAAAGTATTTCTTCTCCTATGCCAAATCAAAATCGAGAACAACGTCCAGTATTGGGCCCCTACTTAAACAAGATGGGTCCTACACAAGATGACAGCAAGAAAATGAGTGAGCTACTCAAGTCCCAATATGACTCGGTTTTTAGCAAGCCGCTAACCAGACTGAGAGTTGAAGATCAAAATTAATTTTTTATGAGAGAGCCACAAAATTTGATTAACACAAGCCTATCCGATGTTATCCTGACGCCAAATGACTTCGAACAGGCGATAAATGACATGCCCATGCACTCTGCCCCAGGGCCAGACTCATGGAACTCTGTGTTCATCAAGAACTGCAAGAAGCCCCTATCACGAGCCTTTTCCATCCTATGGAGAGGGAGCATGGATACGGGGGTCGTTCCCTCAGTTACTAAAAACAACAGACATAGCCCCACTCCACAAAGGGGGCAGTAAAGCAATAGCAAAGAACTACAGACCAATAGCACTAACATCCCATATCATAAAAATCTTTGAAAGGGTCCTAAGAAGCAAGATCACCACCCATCTAGAAACCCATCAGTTACACAACCCAGGGCAACAGGGGTTTAGAACAGGTCGCTCCTGTCTGTCTCAACTATTGGATCACTACGACAAGGTCCTAAATGCACTAGAAGACAAAAAGAATGCAGATGTAATATATACAGACTTTGCAAAAGCCTTCGACAAGTGTGACCATGGCGTAATAGCGCACAAAATGCGTGCTAAAGGAATAAACAGGAAAAGTCGGTCGATGGATCTATAATTTCCTCACTAACAGAACACAGAGAGTAGTCGTCAACAGAGTAAAGTCCGAGGCAGCTACGGTGAAAAGCTCTGTTCCACAAGGCACAGTACTAGCTCCCATCTTGTTCCTCATCCTCATATCCGACATAGACAAGGATGTCAGCCACAGCACTGTGTCTTCCTTTGCAGATGACACCCAATCTGCATGACAGTGTCTTCCATTGCAGACACTGCAAGGCTCCAGGCGGACATCAACCAAATCTTTCAGTGGGCTGGGAAAACAATATGAAGTTCAACGATGAGAAATTTCAATTACTCAGATATGGAAACATGAGGAAATTAATCTTCATCAGAGTACAAAACAAATTCTGGCCACAAAATAGAGCGAAACACCAACGTCAAAGACCTGGGAGTGATTATGTCGAGGATCTCACCTTCAAGGACCATAACATTGTATCAATCGCATCTGCTAGAAAAATGACAGGATGGATAATGAGAACCTTCAAAACTAGGAAGGCCAAGCCCATGATGACACTCTTCAGGTCACTTGTTCTATCTAGGCTGGAATATTGCTGCACTCAACAGCACCTTTCAAGGCAGGTGAAATTGCCGACCTAGAAAATGTACAGAGAACTTTCACGGCGCGCATAACGGAGATAAAACACCTCAATTACTGGGAGCGCTTGAGGTTTCTAAACCTGTATTCCCTGGAATGCAGGAGGAGAGATACATGATTATATACACCTGGAAAATCCTAGAGGGACTAGTACCGAACTTGCACACGAAAATCACTCACTACGAAAGCAAAAGACTTGGCAGACGATGCACCATCCCCCCAATGAAAAGCAGGGGTGTCACTAGCACGTTAAGAGACCATACAATAAGTGTCAGGGGCCCGAGACTGTCCAACTGCCTCCCAGCACACATAAGGGGGATTACCAACAGACCCCTGGCAGTCTTCAAGCTGGCACTGGACAAGCACCTAAAGTCAGTTCCTGATCAGCCGGGCTGTGGCTCGTACGTTGGTTTGCGTGCAGCCAGCAGCAACAGCCTGGTTGATCAGGGGCTGATCCACCAGGAGGCCTGGTCACAGACCGGGCCGCGGGGGCGTTGACCCCCGAAACTCTCTCCAGGTAAACTCCAGGTAAACTCCAGGCCCTGATCCACTGTGAGGCCTGGTCACAGACCGGGCTGCGGGGGCGTTGACCCCCAAAGACTTCACCAGGTATAGAGGTGTAGAGATAGGCTTTAAACCCTAATAACTCTTAAGGCTGGTGCCTTGATGCTGTTAAGGGGCTCTTGATCCAGGAAACTGGACCTCCTCTCCCTTGGATTGAACCTGAATGCCCCCCAGACACTGTATGAGCCCTAGTGTCATTTACTGCTATCCATAAATGTAATAATAATACAAATATTGAAAATTATAACATATTATCATCTCTATTCAGGTTTATATAGTTTTGTATAACCCAGTTTTGTGATTCCCGCCGAGGGAAGAAACATTGGGCATGTTTCTTTACACTGGTTGTCTATGTTCACCCATCAGTAAAATGGGTACCTGGGTGTTAGTGGACTGGTGTGGGTCGCATCCTGGGTGTTAGTGGACTGGTGTGGGTCGCATCCTGGGTGTTAGTGGACTGGTGTGGGTTGCATCCTGGGTGTTAGTGGACTGGTGTGGGTCCATCCCGGGTGTTTTGTGGAATGGTGTGGGTCGCATCCTGGGTGTTAGTGGACTGGTGTTGAGTCGCATCCTGGTGTTAGTGGACTGGTGTGCCCGCATCCTGGGTGTTAGTGGACTTGGTGTGGGTCGCATCCTGGTGTTAGGGAAACTTGTGGGTCGCATCCTGGGTGTTTAGTGACTGGTGTGGGTCGCATCTGGTGCTAGGGACGGTGTGGGTCCATCCTGGGTTTATGACTGGTGTGGGTCGCATCCTGGTGTTAGTGGACTTGTGGGTCGCATCCTGGTGTAGTGGACTGTGTGGGTCGCATCCTGGGTTAGTGGACTGTTGGGTGGCATCCTGGGTTAGTGACTGGTGTGGTCCATCGGGGGTTAGGGGGGACGGGTTGTGGTCGCATCCGGTGTTATGATGGTGGGGTTGCATCCTGGGTGTTAGTGGACTGGGTGTGGTTATCCTGGTGTTAGGGACTGGTGGGTTGCATCCGGGGTTTAGTGGACTGGTGTGGGTTGCACCCGGGGTTGTTAGTGGACTGGTTGGGTCGCATCCGGGGTGTTAGGGACGGGTGTGGGTCGCATCCGGGGGTGTTAGTGGACTGTGTGGGTCGCAC